CCTCACAATACTTCCTAGCATGTAGTGACCATGGTTATGACAGAATAGTTCTTAGCATTTGGTGACTCTGATAGTGACCTCAGAATACTTTCACAAAGCTTCACAACTAAGTCATGCGTTAACAAGCAGCCTCTCGACTGAGATAGCTCCGCTGTTAGCAATGCACATTTCAATGAAAAAATTGAAGATATTACAAAATGAACAAATCTGAGAGAGGTCCACCTGTAGTAGCTTATATGTATAATATCAAATCAGACTTGCGGGTTTTAACAAGAAGTAAAAATTATCATATTTTACCAAAAATGACAAAATTGGAGAATTGAAGATATCATCATGAAATAAACAAATCTGAGAGAGGTCCACAAGTAGTACTAATATGAATCATTATGAAACAAGTCATTGTTAATGACATAGTCCCCATTTGAATTAGGGGGAATTTTATTCATGCCAAAAGTAAGTAATATGCACCTAAATCATAGTCAATAATTTAGCGTGAATACTTAGCTGGTCTAGTATCAACAGACATTGTAAAACAAATTGTCATGGACATGTAATTTAAAATGAACAATGTATGTACCAAATTTAAACAAAAACTGACAAAGCATACGTAAGATACCACATTTTCAACAAATAAAACGGCTGCCAGTCAGCCATCTTTGATCTGATCGCGAAATGAATCATCATAGACATGTATCCTAACATGTATAATGTATGTACAAAATTTGAACAAAAACTGAAAAAGCATGCATAAGATACCTCATTTTCAAAAAACAAAATGGCTGCCAGTCAGCCATCTTTAATTTGGCAGCATGTATAATGTATGTACCAATTTTGAACAAAAACTGACAAAGCATGCATAAGATACCACATTTTTCAAACAAGCAGCCTGTCGGCTGAGATAGCTCCGCTGTTAGCAATGCACATTTCAATTAAAGAACAGAAGATATCATTAGAAAATGAACAATATGTATAGTATCAAAGCAATGGGGCTTGCTGTTAAGTCAAAAATATCACTTTTCACCAACAATGACAAAAATAATCATCAAAATTAGATAATTGAAAATATCACCACGAAATTAACTAATCTGAAAGAAGTCCACATGTAGTACCTATATATGTAATATCAAAGCAATTGCACTTGCGGTGTTTAACAAGAAGTCGAAAA